TTTTTTTTTCATTTGCCTTCGCATTTACTGTTGAGTTAATTTCGTGCCACTATTGAGGGTTGCTAGGGGTATACTTTAGTAGAGAAATAATAATGCATAAACAATAAGTGCTCATAGACAAGGGTGTAAGCTAAGTTCTTTTTGGGTTTGCTGGTCCACAAATAGTTACTTCGACAATTATAATCTTCTTGTGCATTTTCGTGAGGGGTCCCAGATGTATAGCGAAGGAATTTTTATTCTTATTGTTGCACTAATCGCTCGCTGTGAGCTTTGACCATGATTTGGAGCAAAAGTGGAACTTCCGTTTGAATGTTGATCTTTAATTGTTTTTTTTTGAAGTTTGGTACATTTTTGGGCCATACCTACTGATTTTCGATATTGGCCCCAAGAGCAGGTTCTGAAGGCAGTATCACAGTGTTAAAAGGCGAATTATAATATTTTGGGCGTATCTGTCTTTGCTTCTATTCCAATAAGCCTCTGAGCGCTTTGCCGTTTCGTCCACCCGGGCTGTTTTCACACGTAATGCAGAGTCGTGCGGAGGAAATAATGTTTCTATTTTGCTTTTTCCTAAAATCGCATCAAAGGCTTCTGAAACAGCTAAAATTCTATGACTGCTTCTTTCAACCTTTTACGTACATACATTTTTTCTCGTGTTATCTTCTCTACTTTTTATCAGCGCATCTGTGAAGGTGTGCGATACCGAACATATGGTCATGGCTCACCGATTTTCATCAGTTTGGTTGTTTCAGATCTCGGTAGGTGAACTGTTAACGAATTCCTATCGCGATTTCGGCTACTCGTTTACCAACGAGCAAATTGAGAGGTTACGCTTGAAATATCGCCTGAAAGTCGTACAGGTTAGTTTTCCCTTGCAAAACCCATTTTTATTTGTCTTTTTTATTCGTGTAAATATAGCAATATACCTAATTAATACTCATCGACTTATTAAATTCAGACTTTGGAAGATAGCCAAATGAGGAGTATCATAAGAAGTGTTGGAAAGGAATGCAGATTCACTCAGGAAGACTTGGAAACCCTCTACAACATCGTTAAGGTTGGCAAATTTTCTAATCTGATGGGATCAATAGGGTAAAAATGTTGCACCGCACGCTCCTCTTATTCTTTTCGTTTTCTCATCGTATTCCTGTTGAGTGAGTAATTATTTATTTACCACTCATTAGAATTTGTTACAATGCTTATTAAAATTTGTTACCAGTAAGGCATATTATTGGCGGAAGTTAGGAAAAAAATTGTAATGAAATCGATTATGGTAACACTTTACTAGCACATGCGATACTGTCAATTGGGAAATTGTGTAAGGACCATGACGTTCCATTGCATTTGTATGAGAATGATGATGGCAATTTGCTGTCCAAACCATAGCTTAGCGAATGCATATCACATATGGTTGAGTTGTGCCATCTGAATCAATCAATAATCGCCAATAATTTGCCAGTTATGGTTGACTTACATGCCTTCGGAACAGGCACGCGTACAAAAGCCTATGTTCATGGGATACGTTTTATGATTACAGTAGGCCTTATGGGGACACACGGTTGGAACAAAGTTTACGAAGAAATAACTCACCGCACAAGCACAAAGGGTTCTTCGCATGTGACAATCCGAGTGCATGCGACCGTAGTGTTCAGATCGTGAACTCTAGGAAGCGTTGAGGACGCGACGATATTGAAAGATTCCTGAAAAAAGGCTTGGCGGTTTTGCGGTCATTGCGTTTGTTTGTCCTTCTCTTCATACAGGATATTTGTGTGTCAGTGTAGACGGTCCGCGAACTTCCTATTCCGAAAACTTTTTCACTACAGCTCGAATAATGCCAGGTTGAAGAAGCAGCGACAAGTGCTACAGTGCCTACGGACTACCCTCAAAATCTTTTTGAACCTCTAGGGAAGCGGATTAGATGCGGTTCAGAGGCACAGAGGCCCAAAGGCGTTGGCATGCGAAGGTTCGGAAATCGAGGGATGAAAGTGATCAACTAGTGAGGAGGGGCTATTTGGTTGAGAATTGAAAAACAAGCGTTATGATGAAGTGATCATCAAGTAATGATAATGGCCGATAGAGTTTGCTTAAGAAGGTCAGAGCAACTGGTGAAAGTGTGCGTCAATTGCAACGAAATAAAAATAAATAAATGAAAATAGAAGTGAAGTGAATAAATAATAATTCATTGATCAACTTTGTGAGCAGAGTATTTCGTTAGCCGTATTTTTCTTTACGAAAACAGTGCTTCTCGTTCCTTCAAGTACTGGAATGAGGAAATAAGAAAGCAGAGTTGGGCAATGTTATGGACGTCAGTCAGTTCTCAGTAGTCATTATTTCAGTCGGTCAGCTTGCAGGGAGGCACACTGTATAATAGTTCAGACTAGCACTGAATGAGAATTGAAAAAGTGGAGGTTGCCAAAAATTGATCGAACAACACTGATCTTTTCATGGCATGTTTAAATGAATCGTACAAAACCATCGATGCGCAGTTTCCCTTAGCCCTACGATCGCAAATATTCTATGATAGGCCGTCCGGGTGTGTTACGAGTTTTTATCGAAAAAAAATCTGTAAAACAATCAATGGTGAGAATAAGAAAACAAGTCACCTTTATGGATTTCCAGTTGAGGCAGTAGTGTTTGTCTTCGCGAGATTTATCCAGCACTTTCATGAAAAGTGGAGGACAGAGTTCGCAGATATCTTAATTTCATAGCTTGTAACGTGTCCTTTATTGAAAAAAAAAACACTTCTCTCACTTTGTTGATGGTCATCCATAGGATTTTCCGGCAAAGTAGTCATTTCCGTTTGTTCCATGAATGATGTCTGTTGTCCACTAGCTTCGTCGGAGTCGATCAAATCCTGATTGTGAGTAGAATTCTTTCTGGCTTCTGAAGTCGCCCAGTCGGAGAGCATTTCGTCTGGTTTTGAGAGAGGTACAGCGGACACCTTGGCTAGGACGACCTTGTCTTCAGCTATGAGTGCCTTCGAAGCTAGTGAGCTCTGACTCGGAGCAAGGGCTCGTGATCGTTGTCTCTTGCCTGCATAGGGATCTCGTGTGAATAAGCGGGCATGCAGTGATTTTGGACGTGGGGGAGGCGGTTTCAGCAGTTGCGACTTTGATGTGGACAAACGTGCAGGTACATGTACAATAGCTTGTGATCGCCAGTTCTGAGCAGATGAATGCGTTTCATCGGGATTTCGATTTGGAGAACGAGCTAGAGAGGTATCAGGCGTGGGGGTCATACTCATACATCCATAGCTGGTTGAGAATAACTGGAACAGGAGACAGATGACGAGAATGGTCAGCATTAGAAGCAGGATTACGATCGTGACCGATCTGACGCTTCACTGAGCGATCTCTCATCCTGCTGGCCCGTCCGAAGTGCATTGAGCGTGTGGTCATTCGTGTGAAAGGTTTTTCACGATACGCTTGGGGAACAGAGATTTCTCGAATGGCCTGGTTTCAATTGGAGTCACCGGTCTGACTGGGATCACTGCATATCACACATCATGGGACGGCGCACGGGCTTGTTATATGAGTTCTTGGCTATTAATAGACGATCTCCGACCTGCGACGTGAACTTCGATTCCTTCTTCAGTTTTACTTAAATGCCTTGGCTTAAGGGAGACATTTAGAGCGTGGTAGAATCTGAGACATGGAATACAACTAGAGACGTGCTGACTGATTTGGTGGCATTCAATAATTCCTTATTTTGCGACGTTCCACGCATTGGACGTGTACATAAAATGTGTATTTACCCTAATTTGTACTTTCGGCTGTTCTAGGCTGCATCCAATGTTTCGATGTTCCGAGTAGTATGTTGTATCGATTCATTTACATTGCAGAGTTAGAAGCGCAGCGCAGTTAATTATTTTGACTTCGATGTCCCTGTTTGATGTGCGAAACCCGACCTGCTGCTACAAAGACTCATGGTTGCTGGTGCCATCGTGTACACCACCTTTGCTCCGCAGATAGAAACGTAGTTTTGTGAGGAATGGGATAGAAAATGGTCGATATAATGCTCGGGTGAGAAATGAATTCGGGTCTGCCAGTTCGGTGTGCTCCGCGTCCACGTTATACGACAAAGTACATCTCCTGTGGACGCTTCTGCTTAAGACAGCGAACAGGCTGATTAGCATGTTAGCATTATCTCCTTACAACCCCATTGCAAACATGAGCCTTGAACAAATTTTGACTAGTGCATGGGATATTCCGAGAAAAGATATAAATGAAATAAAGCCTCTGAATCAGAAGAAAATTCCACCACTAAATTCAACGTTCGTCATGCATCATGACATCGCTGGATTTCGATTTAATGCCAGAAATCGCTATCGTTTTTTTCAGTCCTCCTTCGTTCCTTTTACTCTTCTTATTGTATTGTATTGTTTGACGAAGTAATTTCTTCCAACCTGAAGAACTCAACCGTGGTAGTAAATTCCTTTCCAATGCTGTCTGTTAAGGAAGAACATTTGTTGTCGTGGAACGTTAGGATTGGCACCAGTGCGAGATGTCATGCAGCTACCTTGACTGAAAGACCAAAACCGGATCCATGCTCTCAATCCCAATACCGGTGAGCATTACATTGAGCTCTTAGAAGTTTGCATCCAACTACGGGACTTTTAAATTCCTCGCTTGAAAACTTGTTGCTCACATGCAATTGGCTCAGTAATTCATACCTATTGTATCTATTTTACAAGGTTTTCCGTTGAGCAAGTGAATTAGAGAGAAACAGAAGTGATTGGGGAGTGGGCAAAGTAGGCGGAATGACTCCAAGGAAGCCATCTATCAAGGTGTAGAAGACAAAACTCCCCAAGTGTAGGTGAAACCCGTCGTTTGATCAGTTGTGTACGCGGTTCTGTATAAACGATGAGCGTTGCGCGATAGCTTGCTTTCGCTGAACCGATGTCGCGAAGGTAGAAATTATGGGAGAATTTTCCTGATAGAATCCGTCTCCGTCAGTTTTTTTTGAAACGATCAAACTATACAACACACTTTTCACTGTTCCTTCAACTTGTTGTTGAGGTTTGCTATGATACTTTTTCTTCATTGTATATTATTCAGATTATTTGCTATTAAGATTTTATATTTTTTCTATGCTTTAACTTATTTCATTTAGTTTGGACTACGACTTATTCTACGAAATAGTGCGACGTCTTCTCCCATGGCCGGTTACAACGAATTTTGTGGTGCGCCTGTTCAGGGTACGTTTCGAAGGTTATTGATTGTATATGCTGTTGAGCGAATTATAACCTCTGTGAGTTGATTCGAGTCTTATTAGTTGCTGGACGTTTCTGACAGTGGACTGCTGACGTTTCGTGATTTGGCCGTAACGCTGTCACTGCTGTTACTTGGGGACGCCACTGAAAAGTTGGCTGTCATTTATAAGTGCCACATCCCGCCTGCTTTTAATTTATCCGATCTTGATGACCTCAATCATGGGGATGAGGAACGAGATGGTTGGTGTGTTGTTGAAGGTCAGTTTTGTTGTCGATGAGCTTGATGTTCTCTTTTACATCACTATGGTAGCGCTTAAGACTCATTTTTTGTTTGACAAGGTTGATCACTTGAAAGTTCTGATTCATTTCATTCCATTTGTTCAAATTCATTTTCATTTCATTTGTGTCGAAGTCCAAAAACGTGATATAGAGATGGTGCTTAGCTTCTTTTTTCCGATTTTCAAGCTCTTTTTCGTTTCTGTTTTGTTTTGTATCCTGAATGGTGCTAACCAGCATTGACTTCAGATGACACTCCGGAAGTCGCCGTTGACGCAATGGATATGATTGCTTCTCCATCATCGGCTAGCACTTCACAGAACAGCTCACCGACGAAGGGAGACGTATCGAGTGAAAGGGTGAGTTACCGTAAAGAATTGTCTTTCAGTGAAAAGTTGGAAATATAGAAAATCTTTCATTAAAAGCTTTTAACGTATTTAGAGTACGATTCCGAGTGCAGTGATTGTGGATGATCCAAAATCGAGTGCTTCGTCATTGTTTGACCTCATAGCACCGAAGTCATACGGTAGTCACACACCGTCCGATTCGAGTCATATTCAGATAGCTGATGAGGCCAGTGAGGGTAAGAAATCAACGCAAATACGCTTCAGTAAAACCAGTCTTGTAAAGGTTGGACTTAAAAAGCGACTTATACCTTGAAGATTAATTTCTTTTCAGAGTCCCTGTCTTTAATTGATGATTCTATAAATAAACTTCGTAATTTACGTGCCACTCTATCGTCACCAGATGCGGCTGCCACTAGATTGGAGATTAAAACACTTCCACCAATGAATCAAGTAGGTGCAATTATGAAAAAAAAATTAGAGTAGATTCTTGAAATGTAGCTTTACGTGGTCACTGGCTGTTCATTTTTTGCTGATCCTTTTCCTTTTCACCCTTCGCTTAACAGCTCAAAGCTCTTAATTACAATGTGAATAAATAAGTAAATGAAAGAGAATCATGCTTTATATAAATATATGAGTGCGTCACATACAGTGAGACTGTTTTCGTACGAAACGATTTGTTCCATTAGAAGTGTGACGCTCGTTTTGGGGGACCAATATAATTAGCTATAATTCATAGCTTACATAATATGCTCTTGGAGGTTTCGATAGTAATATATTACATCAGATGTTAAAGAACCATGGCTATTGACACTGTTTCGGGCTAACCGTTGAGCATTTCTCATTTGATATCCTCAAACAAATTACCTTTTGAAATTGCAGATCCAATTCATCCAACTGTGCAAAACGTTGCATGATATGCTGATTGCGGAAAAAGAAAATCAACAATTATGTGCATTATTGCCAGAAGTTGGTAAGGGTGCTTTGTTTTTTTTGTACTTTTTCGCTCTTCATTTTTTTTTATTTTCACTTCGTTTGATGAAACATATTTCTTTTCTTTCATTGCATTATATTCTATGATGTGTATAATGA